AAACGCGTGAAAAGTTTCTTTATCCGGTTTTCATTAATCCCCTTCCCCTCCCCTTCCCGAAAAAAATCCTTTAAAACAATTTACATTTAAAATTATTACGTCACGATCTCTGTCGTCGAACAAAAAAATTATTTTTTCCTTCTTATTAACTAAACATAATTATTATTAAATGAAAAATGGCGGCGGCGACGGCGGCGTACATAGAATAAAATTTTTAATAAAAATAATTATTATTTATTAATAACAAATAATTCTCATACATAAATCAAATAAATAAATAAATAATTTAAATTTTTAATTGTTTTCGATAAAGAAAATTTCCCATCGTTTATTTACTCTATGCTTTCCGTTTCCGCTCTCACGTTTTCTTACTCTTTCCGCCTTTTTTCCGCCATTTTTTTTCCTCCCGTCGGAAAATATCATTTCGCGAAATTAAATTTTTGATAAAATCCGTTAGTGATAGAGAGAGAGAGAGGGAGAGAGAAAGAGGCAGAGAGAGAGAAAGAGACAGAGAGAGAGAGATAGAGAGATATGTTATAATTTTAATAGTTTAAAATTTTTTCGATCGCCGGGCGAGACGACGATTATGAATAAATAAATAATTTTTTTTTTTTGGTTTGGTTTTAGTTTCGATTTACTACTGCCGCCGCCATTAACTACTACCACTTTTTTTTTTTCTAGAAAGAAAAAGAAAAAAAAATGATTGTTTATAGCTGTCATCTCTATAAAATATGACCTTATACATAATTTACTGTTATTCGGTTCGTTCGAAAAAAAAAAAAAAAAACTTTTCCTTCAAATGGTCTCTTTCTCTCTCTCTCTCTCAACGTGTCCTTCTTTTTTTTTTTTTTTTAAATTTTAAATGAATTTTAAAAAAATTAACGGATTTTTTTAGTTTTGGGAAAAACATACAGATGGCAACATCGTCGTCGTCGTCAACGTAAGTATTTTTATTATTATGATAAGGTGAATATAAAAAAATTTTTTTTTATTTAAACGGTTTTCCTTTGTGACGTCACGCGTATGAAAAATTTTTTCCACGTGGAAATTAACGATAATAATAATAATAATAAAGGGAAATA